ACGTTTTATTCAAAAGAAAAGTGTGTTTAAGAGGAAAGAAAAAAGTAAGGGAAAAGGGAAGAAGGTAAACGGGAAATAGAGAAAGGAAGGGGGAACGTAAGCGAGCAACCTAGTAGTTAGTTGATCGCCTATAAAAAGCGTTGTTTGGACTACTATTTTGGCAACTACATGAATGAAAAGTACAAATTGTTGATTGGTTTCATATTTAATTCTAGTATTTTCTTAGAACTGGAGACCTTCTTTAAAAATGTTCCAAGCTTTTGACTGGGTCTAAAGTCAGTTCATACCCACTCTTCTATCTAACAGATCGTTGCTTTAAAGTAAGGTGCGGCATAGTTCTCTGAGGCAAAACCGATCTAGGCCGGGGTCCCGCAAGGGAGCATTCTTGGCCCCATTCTACCCAACTACAATATCCAGAAATATCTCGAGCTCATTGAAAAATGATGGAAACGCGGAAGAAATTGTACGAGGACCAAAAATACCATCACGTTAAACAAACATCCTTCCTCATGCGTTTACAGCAAAGAGCTACAATTGGTTTAACTTAAACACTTAGGCAGTAGAGTCGTATAGTTCTAATCGACGTGGAATCCCCAATGAAGAACTGAACATACGACTTTGACAATCACACATTAAAGAACAAATTAACACTGTACAAAACGTTCGACCTACATGTTTGGATACAGCGAGCGGAACTATGGGGTACCACCAAACAATCAAACATCCAACTAATCCAAGCATCCCAATCAAAAGTCCTCAAAATTCTCCAAACTCCTTACTCGGTTAAATCTTTTTAAAAAGATAGTTCCTACTCACAGTAAGTTGTTTTCAACGATCCGGATTTCGAGCTCCTTCAACCTGATGATGAGCTGTAGGCTCGAAATCCGGATCGTTGAAAACAACTTACTGTGAGTAGGAACTATCTTTTTAAAAAGATTGAACAACACACCACTCCACCATTAATCTTTTCCCTTACTTGGTTTGTAATCTCACCATCCACAATGATCTTAACCTTTCCCGCTTCCTCAAGTTTAACAAGTCTTTCAACTCATTCTAATCCAAGTGCAGGAGCATCTTAAGCTCTCAAATCCTTACTATATCTCTAACTTCACTATCCACAATGACCTTAAACTTCCATGCTTCCTCAAGTTTAACCCCTACTTTTCAACCCATCCTAATTCTACTGCCGGAACATCTTAAGCATTTCAAACTCCTTACTATGTCTTTAACTTCACTATCCACAATTACTTAACTTTTCCCGCATCCTCAAGTTTAACTCTTATATTTCAATCCATCCTAACAATACTGCAGGAGCATCTTGAGCCTCCTAACTCTTTACTATGGCTCTTAACATCACTAACCACAATGACCTTAAACTTCCATGTTTTCTCAAGTTGAACTCCTACCTTTGAACACATCCTAACTCAACTGCTCGAACCCTCACCAGTACATCCCATCCCAAGAACCCTTTACGTTGCCTGAAACGACCTGAGTCCTTCTCGCCCTTAACCTAATAACAAATTGAGTGCCAATTTGCTCTATGTATAATTTATGTACGTTCTGCCTAGGCTCGAAAATTCCATAGAATCCTGGCCTTTATAAATTTGGACTCCTCAGTCAGTATTTGTTGCAAAAAAAACTTTCTTCCGACAATATTTCCGCATTTGCATGAAAAGTAATTCCTTTTTTCGTAATCAGTTTAACCTATGAACAAGACATTCTAAAATTTCTAACCCCTGTAAGCTTTGAAGCCGCTCTGAATTTTATCTCTCTCATAGCTCAATAAATTTGTTGGATATTTCAGATATTTATAATATTTAATGGATATAAACTGGTCAAAAAAGAATAGGGATTGTAATTTATTCTTATTCTATTAATTTTAATTAAATTAACTGATATATTCTTGTTAGTTGGATAAAGCAAAATAGAAAATACAAACCAAAACCAAAAAAATTGTTAATCCTCATTTTTAATAATGGATTTACTTAAGAAAAGTAAACTTGAAGAATACTCATTTTGTAAACAAACACATTTTGTCGTCTTTTTTTCCATTTTAATACAGTTCTATTCTCTTTACCATGGAAAGATATCATCATGAACCAGAAGTTCGCAGTACTATTGTGAGAATGATTCATCGAGGTCTCCGGCAAGTGGATATCGCAGAGGCAGTTGGCGTTTGTTACAGCGTCGTATCTCGGGCTTTAGCCCGATTCCGACAGACTGGAAGTGCCAATAGGTGACCTGGTAGTGGATCTCAGCGCATTACGATTCTAAGGGAGGACAGAAGTATTGTCATTGCTGCAAGACGGAACTCTTTCCATAGTGCCCGCCAGATCCTGAATGAAGTACAAGGAAGTTGGCCTCACATGGCATGCCTCTTTGAGACGACCTACAGCAACAGCCCGCCACCAGGGGAATATGGTACATTCGTTCCCAATCTTGCTCAAGGTCCTGAGAAGGACATGAGGATCTTTTAAGACCTCGCCTAGCTCTAGGGCCCTATCGGTCCCTCGTGCAAGCACGGGATCGTTTTTCAAGAAGGGAGGCGACACGTTTCCGTCTACGGTGGGGTGTGCAATACCGTAGATTTTCACGTAGAGCCTTGAAAAAGGCTCTTCCCCGCTTGTCCCTTCTGCAGGGCTGGGTCGGCAGACCGCCCGACCAGTGTCGCAGCCGAAGCTACTCCCCCCGATCGATAGAGAAGGCAGCTCTATCGAAACCCCTAGCGTTCCGACAGACAGGCCGGCACCTGTTTTTATTTAAGTGGAATGCTAACCACCGTCCAGGAGGCACTAAGTACCTCCTGGGCTACTCTCAAGGAGCCTCACCACGAACCACTACGAGTCCGACCTCAATTGCAAGCAGTAGACTTGGAACATACTTGCGCCCGTAGTTCAGTAATTCTCACTTATAGGACTCGCATGCTGCTGTCCGCGAAGTGTAACTGATCTCACACCCGACGGTTAACTGTGGCAAATTCTCTCGGCAGAAATTCGCCAAACCGTCTATTGATTTAGAATGCTTGCCGGGCACTCAAGGCTACAGTTAGCCTGGGGAATATGGTGCAGCGAGCGCCTACACGAGAACAGCAATTGGAATGCTGTTATGCTTACCGATGAATCGCGTTTCTGCCTGTGACAGCAGGCGCCGAAGAGTCTCCCGAGAACAGAGAATGCGTACAATGCCCCATTATGTGCTTCCTTCAGTGCAGTTTGGAGGAGGTGGTGTAATCGTCTGGGCTGGAAGACGAACTGGACTCCATATTGTTGAAGGCAACCTCACCGCAGTTCGTTATGTCCAAGAAATTATCGAGGATTACCCGTCAAACCAGCGATCTCATCGGCATGGATTTTCGATTTATGGATGACGATGACAGGATCTCATAGAGGAAGAGTTGTTCGTCAATATTTACAAAACCTAGAAATTTTACATCTGCCCTTTTCCCCATTGTCTCCAGACCTCAATCACATTGAACACATGTGGGATGCGAGGCAGAGAAGGCTATCACCATCCGCAGCCTGTTGGCCTGTAACAACTGAGTGCAGCGTTGCAACATCTACGGAGTGAAATTCCTTATGATATTAGTGACAACATTATTAACAGCATGCCTAACAGGTGCACAGAAATTTAGCTAACAAAGGCATTATACACGATACCAATTGTTTAAAAAAATATTATGCCCAATAAACAAAATTATTATTTTTCAAAATCTCTTAGTTAAGTTTTCCTTCAGTGAAATACATATAAGTTGATTTGTATATATTTTTATATATTAATCAAAGTTTCACGTTTTTTAACGTTTAATAATTTAGTCTTTGTCTAAAAAAGTAAATTACTAAGGAAAACAAAAAAACGGATAGATGAAATTTGTTTCAATTTTGTTTTAGATTTTTAATTAACATTTCAATATCGCGTATTTCATCCTCTTTCCTTAATTACATCTCGAAGATATTATCTCGCCTCGGGATACATTCTACCAGTCTGGAAATGTCTCTTTGCTGGAGGTTAACCCATTCTTCACGAAGAATATTCTCAAGATCGTGGAGTGTATCAGGAAGTGATGGACGTGCTCTTATTCGTCTTTTCTTGTCCCATATGTACGATGGGGTTCAAGTCTGGAGAACGGGCTGGCCAGGCTAAGACCCTGATGCTGCTGAAGGTACGTTTGTAATATGGAGCGACATGTGGCCTCTGATGAATCGCTTGAACAACAGTAAGGAGCCGGTTTAGTAAAATTCTAAAAGTCAACAAACGGTCATCCTGTGGTTTTGTACCCCAGGGCGTCCAGAACCGGGCTTCTATGATAGGACCCAGTTTCTCGAAAACGTCTAACGGCGTCACGCGGTATTTCGTATGACACTCCGATGGCAGTAGCCAAATACTTGGTGGTATGTCGGTTATCAATAACTGCCATATCCTCAGCACTAAATGGCATTATTAAGTTTAAAAATTGAACTTAGGAAAACAAAGATGAAACTAAACAGTTTATTGCTTCAGAATTCAAATGATACTGAAAAAACATTTTAAATTCCGTAAAAAGTAAACATTGAAAAATCCTTTATCCTTGTTCTGGATTAATGATTAAGTGTGTTTAACTCTATTTGATATTCAGACTTTAAAATAAATAAATAAACAAATATTTATTGGTAAAAAAATGTGACAAAATAAGGGCAGAATTTTCTTTTATCGAGAAAAAAAAATCAATTGGGTGCAATTTTTTGCATGTTAGTGTATAATAAAATGTTAGGGAAAGTAAATACTGCATTGGCAACTTCCCTATTTATTTTTGAGCCGTTTATATTTCAGACACCCTGTGTCTATTACACTTGTGAGCAATCAATCAATCAATCAATACGAGACTCGGGAGACTGTAAAGTAAGTAAAGTATACGATTAAGTTAGGAGGATTTTGTACGTAGCAGACGGAGTTTGTTATGAGCGGGGTAGCGAGACGAGGGCGGCTATCAAGGAGGCGTAGGCGGACCCCACTCGGCCGCCTTCGGTCATATCGATCCGCTGCAGACTGCGGTAGAGCAGTAACTAACCTTTCTCATACCGACTGACATGCACTCGAATTAACTGGGCGGATTCAGTCAGTCAGCCCTCTACGCTCGTACGAGTCGCATAAAACCCGATCGCTTTCTTAACACTGAGTCTAACAGATCGTCGGACCGATGATTGGCACGTTTTGGAACCTTTGCCGCGCCTGCCCTTCCATGCCGGTAGACAAGGTAGTTGATTTCTCGATTTTTCACGTTTTTTTTTGTTTTTTTTTCGAAGTTGTCAGATCGAACCAAAAAGATTTTTCCACTTGTGTTGAAGCCAAGCATGAGCCGGCATGCTCCTGCACCGTTTGGTGTGCCTGTTTCCTCTTTAGCCCAATTGTTCTGAGTCACCGTTTTAACTAACGCCGGTCACGCGCGATCTATCCCTTTTTTCGACACCCGTCTCACTTTCCTCCTGCCTCGAATCCAATGCGTCGTGTACGGAGGATTTCCAACCCCCGACCGGTGTAAATATCAATTTGGAGAACACTGGGACTCGAGCTTTTAAAGGTTCCTATAACCCTTAAAGTTGTGATGCCGAAAAACCCTTCCAAAACTTTTGAAAAAAAAGTTGTAGCAGATTAAAAAAAAAATTACAGGAGCAGTTTTTAAAAAAGTACTCAAGCCGAAAATTATATCCAAATCCAAACATAAAATCTCGCTACTCGTTAATTTTGGTCGTTGAATATCTAGTGAAAGAACGTTTTGAAAAGCGCCTTAGCTTTCCGATGAACTCTTTGCACCGTCTGAATAATGGACAAAGGTCGGTTCGTTCATAAAAGAAAACTTGATAAAATATTCATAATTTGGTAGGAACTGTTCAGAACCCTCTTTCACACAAGTAAAACTAATAAATAGTTTAAAAATGGTCGTTACAGGACAAATTTCATCGCAGGGGTGCAAACCAAAAAAAAAAAAAAAAAAAGAAAACAACTGCATAAAACAGTCTTCGTTTTTATATTCATTATTTCAGCCTGGAATTTAGGTGTACCAATTATTGTAAAAACAGAAATGCTTATATAAAATCACCAAATAAATATTTTGTTCTATCGACGGTGTTTGATACATTAGACGATAAGAACGTTGCATGGGTTTGTTTGATAGCATGCATTTTATTTTATTTTCTAAAAAAGATTCGTTTTTCTATATTTCTTTGATTTCTAGGTGATTCCGATTTTTTTGGCGATTGTTTGAGAATCACGTGGATTTAAAACCAAATCGAAAATGTGCCACGAGGGGAAGAGAGGTCCTGTTACAGATAGTTGTTTTGAAAAACGCAAAGTTTCCTATAGAATTCATTTGCGAATTTTCTTTGTTCTGTAGGAAAATAGAGGAAAAAGTGTCCAAAATTGAACCGAATAGACAATTTTAACAGATTTTTAATTACAGACTCAAATCAATCGACCTGAACCGCTAAAACGTTCATTTTCTCAATTGCTTGTTGGATAAAATTATCAAAACTCAGTCACAGTAGTAAGCGATTCAAAGAGTTACTGTGATCATCTTTGAATATTGCACGACTCAATTTAATCAGCGTTCTGATGAAGTGTCAGCCCAAAAATCACGGCCTTGGTTTTAACATACACGCAATTTATAAAGGTATCGGGTATCGATTTTACTTCCTTCTGTCGATAATCTGTTGTTGTCTCTTTTAGTCGTCAAGGTTAAATTTAATCGATGGTTCGAACAAATAGTCACTCTAACGCTTTTTCAACATAAACACAGATAGATTCATTTATCGGAAAAGGAAATTCCATTTTCCTCTCACGCTTCTTGACAAAATATAAAATATAGACTTAGTGGAGAGACGAATTGACCTAGACGTCGGAAGCCCCAGCAAAAAAAAAAGTAAAAAAAAAAAAAAAAAAAAATTGCAAGGCAGAAAATAAAGTACTTAAAATAATTCCGTAATAAACATATAAAAAGTCAGTCTGTGGGGCATAGGTTAGCCGGTTTAACGGGCTGTCAGCCGCTCGCAAAGACGTTCATTGATTTTTCATCATTGCTAGTCCAAGATGGATCGCTCAAAAGCTTACTAGATTGACAACCTTGAAATTTTATTTGATTTGGCATAAATTCTCAACTTGATATATTTTTGTTATTATGGCTATACTGGTAAATATGGTGATGGTAATGGTATTAGGAAGTGAGGGTTTAATATTCCTTAAGAATCGCTGGCTTATTGTGTTTTGCCTCCTTAGTTCAGTTCGATCGATTATCCTTTTTTTGAAAGTAGAAGGTCATTGATTGTTATTGCTGGTATTCTTTCTCCAGGGGTTTCTTGGTAACATGTAGCTGATGCCTTGATTGAGCAGTTTGCATTCGAAGGTAATACAGATGAAAGTTTCTTCCTATACCATATAACAATAGAGTTTACGTACTTCGTCTAGGATAATATGATGAAGGCGAGGAGGATACTAGTAAGTGGGAGTTTTGTATTTTCCAAGCACTGTGGCTTTTGGGTTTATTTTCCTAGTTCCTTAGTTCAGCTCAATTGACTCGATCCAGCTCTTAAGATGACTTAGGACATGACTATTATTATTTTTTCAAGGTCTGTTTGGTACCCTAGTTTATGTAGGTGGTGTGTCCATTGAACAGTTTGCATTCGAAGGTAATATGTTTGGAAGTTTTTTTCTATAACCAATAGAGAGAACATTATGGGAGATGATGAGGTGGATACTAGGAAGTGGGAGTTTTGTATTTTTCAAGCACTGCCGCTTTTTGGTTCATTACACTTTTCCTAGTTCCTTAGTACAGCTCAATTGACTCTATCCTTCTTTTAAAAAGAAGGTCATTGATTGTCATTGCTGCTATTCTTTTTCCAGGATCTTCTTCATACCTTAGGCTTTGTCTCAGTTGAGTATTTCGCATTCGAAGAAACCATGGTGGTAGTTTCTTCCTTCTCATTGCATAATCTACACACGAGGGTTGAGTATACTAATGTTGTATATGACCCTAAAAGCGTTAAGACTAAAAAGATCAAATCCGAAGTCTGCGAAAGTACCTAAAACCTGGAAAAACATAACAGACATTCTTATGGGTGCCCTGACACCAAGGAATTTTGGGTAATGAACAAGCAGACAAACTGACAGGAGGATTTAACACAGGCCAAGATTTTTTTTTGCTTTGTCTATACGACATACAGACAGAGAATATTATAGATCTTGGGGCCCAGCCCACCAACCGCCAGTCAGATAACGTCCTGTATAATATTTTCTCGCTTCTATGTGGTAATTTTTGAGTTCTGCAGAACGTACTCCCTTTTATCGGGATAGTGGTGATAAAAACACTTACAATGCACATAGTGCTTGTGGAAAAGTTCCACATTCGCCCCGGATCACAAAGCCAAATTTGCCCTAAGCGATCTGGTGGTCCCCTAAGACGGGCAGTATAGTACACCACTACAATACACTACTAAACAGATTTATTAACGTGGTGATAACTATGAATAACTATAAAATTGATAATTGTATACATTGTAACTATCACTGGAAAACGTCCGCGTATTGGATTATTCAGACCTTTTGCTAATGTTGTTACAAAGTTTGAGACGTGTATGGTGTAAAGAAGGCGATCATCAATACACATCCCTGTGGAAGGCCTTTGAATAAATTCCTTTAACCTATCATTACTTCATTTATTTTAAAGTAATTGTTTCTATGTGGAATTAGATTCGTGATGTTTTGGACTAGTCTGTTTGGTAACCCTAGATACCTAAAATTGGAAGCTAGAAGGCGAATTATTTTGCATCGTACCGCAGGTTTTGTTGTGGGGGCCAATTGGATATCGGTAATTAGCGCTAGTTGGGCATCCGTCACAGACTTACCTTTTCGGAAATCAAATTCAGAAGACGGTAGTATCCTATTTTATTTGGCCCACCATTCTAAGCGCTTTTTATAATTCGTTCGTACTTTTTTTGGACGCAAGAAACTAAACATAATGGGCGGTAGGAACTAGGCAAATGGGAAGGCTTTTTTTTTATTGGAATGATCAACGTATCTTTCCACTTTTCTGGTTTGTCGGAACTGAACCAGATGTGGTTTAATGTTTCCAAGAACTTCACTTTGGCAAACGTTGGAAGGTTGCTTATCATGTAGTAATGGATTTGGTCTATACCAGAATTATTATTGGTGTTTTTAGAGATGCATTTAGCTCTGCAAAGGTCAAAGGAGCTAACAGCTCATGCTTTCGGATTTCAGAGGATGTAATTATTGATACATTTTCTCGGGGACCTTGTTGATACAGTCTATTAACGAAATTTGCTGTCCATTTGCCATAAACTGTTGGGTGAAGTTTAGAGATTGGAATACTTTTGATTACCTTAAGTTGCAGCCAAAGGTCTTTGATAGAGTAGAACGGCTAATAGAACAAAATGACTTCCACAATTATTTTTTTTGCGTCTCGGAAGATTTTTATGGCTTCCAAAGAAAGTGTCTTTAATGTTTCTTAACGTACTAAGGTAAGTAAATTTTTATATGTCCCAAAGGCCAATTTTCTTTCTGCCACTATTCTATCACAGCGATCCACCATGATTTACTTCTAAGCCTAGAATATACACACACTTGCCCAGACTTCATAGAAAGTCAAATAATCCATTGATTATTTTCAAGGGTTTGCTTCCTCCCCATTTTTTATACTCGGTCCGATTGGCCTTCTTAAGATTCCTTTTCCCAGAATATTGACAGACTTTGCTTAATGGGCCAGTCGATATAGAGAAATGGATGGTCAGACCCCATAGAGTCATCTAAAACTTTCCAGTTTGGCTTAAGAACAAGTTCTGTACAAGCGAGGTTTATACCCACTGTTGAGTTTCTTGGATGATTGGACAACTTTACCTTTGTAGGAGAGCCTTTATATCGTTCTGATCTAGTGCGTTGATAAGTTCCCTGCCTTTTTTGTCGGTCCATTCTGATTGAAGTCGCCCACAATTAGTTTTGGTAGTGTTTTGAAGAATGCGTCCCACTTATGGTTGGATATGTATTAGGAAATTATGTTGGTTGGTGAGGAGTCGGGCAAGATTATTTGCATTCTGGTTACATTTTTAAAGCCAAGAGTCTGGATATCAGTGCCCACTAAAATGCCCATGCCACCGTAAAACACTTCCCTGTCTACTCTTATGAAATGGTAGTCCTTAAATTTGCAAAGCGAGCTCGGAGAAAGCCAAGTCTCCGAAATCTATATTAACA